GGCATTCGCTCTTTTGTTCACCCTCGGTTCCATTGCTGGCGGCATCTCTACTTCGTATGCTGTGGACAACTCGAACATTGAGGTCTTGGTCGACAGCCCCTTCTGCGGCCGCATCAATAATACCAAAGTCTTCTCAGGCACTCAGCAGGCTGTCAGTGTACTGGCCACGCATGGCGATTCGATCCAATCCTACGCAACAAGCTGCTACCAGAACAGCTCATCGCTCCCCGCGCTCTGCCGCAACACGTTCCATCGGCCAAACATTACGTTTAGTGCCGATCCCGTCGCGTGTCCATGGAACGACACCATGTGCGCTGGCGAAGGCTCTTCGGCGATTGCTATGGACTCTGGCGTGATAGACATGAGAACGCACTTTGGGCTCAACATCAAAGAAGAGGACACGGTCAAGCTCCGTCGCAGAACTACCTGTAACGTTCTGCCGCGAGCAGGCCATGTTTTCGAGAGGCCACCCGAGTATCTGAACCGCGGAAACCCGGCAGAGCGTTGGACACTTGAATATGGATCCTGGAAAGGTGTACCTGAGAACCAACATCCTGAGGTTACTTTCAATTTGGAGTCTATATTGGTAGAACACCAAATGTCGTTCTACACTACGTAGGTATGCCGCTCCAAAGTCCGCGACTCCTGGCTAATCATGGGTCTCACAGTGCTATGATGTCGTATGTGCACAGTGATTCAGTTGGAGGTGTGATAAATCCGCTTGCAGAGATGAGCCGGACCGACGCAGACGTCGCACTCATCGTAGTATGGCCCAATGCCGTGGTATACGAAAACCCGGTCGAAGATCCGCTTTTTGCCGCGCACCGCATCGAAATGCGACAACAAGCCTCCGGCAAAGACAAAGCACTGTACTGGTCCGACCATAAAGCAGGGGTCGTTGGGTGTGCCATTCAGGTAAGGCCGCCCTCTCACCCTCTACTACTGATCGTCACCTTCTTACACTCCCAAGCATCAATACTGCTACCCCCGTCCGGGCAAGGAAGACTACTGCACCCCGCTCGGCCCCAGCGCTGCCCCCGACACACCCACCACCATCTATCCCGATGCGTCGCCCATCCAGGCCTCCATCCTCCAGCTCCTGCAATCACTCACCCGCGTCTCGGACATGAACCGCAGCCCGCACCTGGGCAACCTGCGCGCCAGTAAGACCGTCATGGTCGGTCACTCCCCCGGACTCCCTGCGGACCAATGGATCCGCGAAGTCACAGCATGGGAAGCCTTCGTCTGGACAGGCTTTCAAACATTGCTCTCTGTATCCGTCATCGGACCCAAGGTCTTCGACGACGCAGGCGATGCGTACATAGACGAGCCCACCAGCGTTGGAGACAAGCAACTGTGTGCGAGTCTGCGGATGCGGAAAGCGGGTGGCTTTGCCAATGTGAATGTCTTCGCGCTGGTGTTTGTGACTACGTTTGCGAGCCTGATTAGTCTCTTCAGCATGTTCGTGCTACGGTTCTGCATTTTCCTGTCGAGGTTTAGAAAGGCGCTGGCCCCTCGCATTGATCGGTGGGTTCAAGACGGAGTATTTCAGCTCCAGCGGAGGGCGTTTGATGCACAGGGTGAGGCGTGCTGGATTGACCTTGAGAAGGAGATTCCGGTTACGAAGGGGAGGGAGAGGTTGTATGCGCTGTTCGTTAAGGAGAAGGTGGTCAAAGAGAAAGAGAATGTAGGGAGCTTGAAGACTGAGGTTGGCATTGAGGAGAGTGAGCAAAAAGGGGGGACAGCTGCTGAGGACGAAGTGGTCGAATGGAAGAGGTTCCGGGTTAGTGTGGGCAGGGTGGATACTGGTGCGACGCTCGTGGCACCCTCAACCGAACAAGGGGGTGTGAAGGGGAAGAAGTAGACGGTCGCGCATCGCTGGGCATACGATACTCCTGATGAAGTGTACGAGTGATGCATTCTAGGTGGCCGAACTAGCCTATATAGAGCTAGGCTCCTTCCGAGCACCAATGGCACCTTCCAACAGCTCCAACCGCACCTTTACCACTCAATTGCCTCTCCGCGCCGCATAGCACCAGGTATGCTCGAATACTATACACGATTTAGGGTGTTTGTGCGCTCGACGAATACCCCTAACGTACCCCGCTTGCGTACCCACCCTGCGTGTTCTACCATATCCGAACCTCGGAACCTCGGCCCACGCACGCGCGACTTGCGACTACCTCAGTTGTGCGACTAATCCCTCGAACCATCCCAACAATGAATACAAAACAAGCCACTGTGTTGCCGACGAATGGCTTCATTAACACGCTTAAGCATTTAGGTTGAAATTCCCATCACTTTTCATCATTTTGCATTGTTGGTAGGGGACGCAAGAGCTAGGAAATGGCAGCCACAGCGGCTGGACTGGTAGCGGCAGGGTCGGCGCTCGCAGCGTACCTCAACGCAAAGTACCACATAGGTCAAGATATCAAAGTGATACGACATGTGCTCCGCGCGAGGAGGCATTATGAGAGGCTCGGTATAGGCTTCCCTTCTCTCCGTCACCAGCACGGGATGGACCTTCACATGCACTTCACCAAGCCCAGCACTCACTCTTCAGAGTCGCACTGTCCCCCAAGTCCCCAAATCTAATGTCCAGAGGCTAACCAACCTGTTGAATAAAAGTGGAAGAGAACCGCGCATCTCTCTGGTACCATTTCGCCCCGCACGCCTCCCTCCATCCGCATGCCCTGTGCATCTGGTCTCGTGGCAAGAGTTACACCTGGGCGCAGGCGCACGACCGGGCTGTCCAATGGGCGCAGTTATTTCTTTCCAAAGGCGCGCAGGCTGGCGACGTGGTCGCTATCTATCTAATCAACTCCGCGGATTTCATGCTCGTGTGGTTAGGACTACTATGCATCGGCGCGGCGCCCGCGCTGTTGAATTATAACCTTAGGGGCGAGGCGTTGGTGCATTGTGTGCGGATCAGCGGAGCGAAGCTTATTCTAGTTGATGGGGATCAAGAGATTAGCGGACGGTGGGGTGAAGTCGAGGGCGGGATGCGGGAGATGGGTGTTGAGGGGGTGGTTGTCACACCCTCCCTGCTCTCCCAGATTGATTCTATCGAAGCCATCGATCCCGGGGACTCCTACAGAGCCGGCGTCAAGGGCACTAGTCCCATGAGCCTCATGTACACCTCCGGCACAACTGGCCTCCCCAAAGCCGCGCCCTTTCAAACAAGTCGCTTCCACGACCGCGGCGACCCGACGTATCCGCCCTTCGGACAGACCAAACAAGATCGATGGTTCTGCAGCATGCCGCTGTTCCACGGCACCGGGGGTATTACGTTGATGATGGCGCTCACGATGGGCATCAGCGTCGCGGTGGCCCCTAAGTTCAGCGTGTCACAGCACTGGGACGATATCGCTGACTCGGAAGCGACGATCTTCGTGTATGTTGGCGAGGCGGCGCGGTACCTTCTACATGCGCCGACGCACCCGCGCGAGCGAGATCATCCAAAGCTGCGCGCCATTTACGGCAACGGCATGCGACCGGATGTGTGGGGGAGGTTTAAAGAACGGTTTGCGGTGCCTGAGGTAATTGAGTTTTTCAATTCGACGGAGGGCGTGCTCACTATGGTGAATTATTCGCGCAATGCGTATACGCAGGATTGTGTGGGGAGGAACGGGTAAGTCATGTCCAACCCGACGAAAAAGCTTCCCCCCTGCCAGTCAGGACCTGCGGAGTGATGGGAATTTGGCGTGGACAGTGACCGTTCTTGAGAGAAGAATCAACTTGAGCAGTTACGCTGACGAGTCCCCATAGCTTACTCCTCCGCGCATACCTCCACAACACCCTCGTCCCCGTCGCCATCGACGCCGAAACCTCCGACCTCCTCCGCTCCCCCACCGGCCTCGCCATCCGCACCTCCTACGCCGAAGGCGGCGAGATCCTTGTCAAAGTTCCCGATGAATCTGCATTCGCAGGGTACGTCAACAACCCCGCTGCCAACGCGAAGAAGTTCGCCCGCAACGTCCTGCAGCAAGGCGACCTGTTCTACCGAAGCGGCGACGCGCTACGCCGCGATAGCGACGGGCGGTGGTTCTTCAAAGATCGCCTTGGTGATACGTTTCGCTGGAAATCTGGAAACGTGTCGACGGCCCAGGTCGCTGAGACCTTGGGTAAGTACCCTGGTGTGGCGGAAGCCACTGTCTACGGCGTCCCTGTGCCGGGACATGACGGGCGCGCGGGGTGCGCTGCGATACTCTTCGAGTCAGGCGTCACCCGCCAGACATTTGACTGGGCAGCGTTCCTAGCGTACGCGAGGAAGGAGCTGGTGAAGGAGGCGGTACCCGTGTTTGTAAGGGTGGTCAGGAGGAGTAGTCAGACGGATAACGAGAAGCAGAATAAGGGGCCGCTGAAGGCAGAGGGCATCGATATTACCACTTTCGGATCGAAGTTTGAAGGTGGCGCGGGCGACGCGCTGATGTGGACGGGGGCCGGGAGGGAGAACCGGACGTACACGCCTGTGCAACCGGCGGACTTGGAGGTGTTGAAGAGTGGGCGCGCGAGGTTGTAGTGCTGCCGGGCATTTGTGCGTGCACTTCTCACTTCTTGTACGACGCTCCCCCCAAAACCAAATAGGCTCCAAGCGCTTGTACTCCTAGTGTAAAACCCGAAGCCCGTGCTCTTGCATTAAGGTAGAAGCGTCCCGGCTACTAGGGCTAGAAGTGTTCATGCATCCATAGAACACGAACACGAACACGTTCAAAGCAACTCCGAAACATCAACCACAAGAGCTATAACGTTATACCTCGCTTGCAAACGCAGCATCATATACCCAGCCATCCCGGCTTCCATCCTACCCGTGCACCCGCCATCCCCATACCTCCCTAAATCCTTATATGCTAGAAAAGCTACCATTAGCGGACCGCAGCGCCCAAAAAGTAAGCCCGACCAGCAATCAAACATACAACATGGAACGACAGCAAAAACAAAAAGTGTCGGACTACACGAGATGAAAGCTATAGTATAAGATAGCGGTTTCCATCTCATCTTGCGTTGACCGGGAATCGAACCCGAGGCTGAAGCATGTCCCCAAGTCCTAACCCGGTTGGCCTGGCGCCTCTGGATCTGGATATATGGGATGGGAAGCTTCAATGTTACCACTACACCATCAACGCGAGAAGTGTACAAAGTGCCCCCCAGCACTGAAGGCTTTGAGCGCTGGAATACTCCGTATCGTATTTTCCGGGCGGGCGAGGTATATAAAGGTGGAGTTTAGGGGCGGTGCGGGCGTGGGGGGTGGTGAGGCGGGGAGTGGAACGGGGATGTGGTGGGGTACAATGGCGCAATGAGGGGTGGGTGGCTACGGTGATTGGTGACGCGCGAACTCGGGCGGGTGGGCTCAACGTCAACACCAATGGAGCGGTTTGCGGCGAGACACGTGCGACGTGCATTTCCATATGAAGGAGGAAGATGGATAGGGTTGGGGTTGGGTTAATTGCATTGCTCGCGAGGAAATATCAATGCTACCTTCATACCCTGTCATTAGGGAATGATCAAGACGCTCGCTTGTGCTGCCACGCCGTACTCGCCCTCTTCTCCTCCTCCTTCCGCGCCAGCTTCTCCGCCTTCTTGCGCTCTTCCTTTTCCTTCTTCTTCTGCTGCTTCTCGAGCCAGTTTGAGTCTTTGGGCCCATCTCCTACCTTACCGCCCGCCATGATGTTAGCGAGGAAGTCCTCCGCGCTCTGCGTGGTCAGGACCTCCCTGGCGGACTTCGGCACTTCTGGCTTCGGGTGCTTGGGCTTGCGCGGAGGATGCGTGTCTGCTCTTTCTGTTGCTGCGTTGTTCTGCATCACAGCGTTGTCATTAGTTGCCTTTTCTATTTTATCTGTGCTGGTGGAGGCCTGAGCGGCGTCTTTCTCACCAGCATTTGCGACGGGCTCCGCGGGGAGAGCTGCTTCTTCGACAACGAGCTCTTCAAGCTTGGCCGCTGCGTCCTTGTCGCCTTTCGAAGCGAGCTTCTTCTTGATGCGGATGTCGTTTAGAAGAATGCGCCTCAGCTCAGCAATTGCCTCGCGGTCGCCTTCCTGTACCCGCTTTTTGAGCGCCGTACGCTTCTGGTCGCGCTCAATCTGCTGTTGCACAAGAAATTCCTGCTTCTTCTTCACGGCCTCCTGAAGTACGATGCTGTTCCTCTTCAGGGCATCTTGGGCTGCGTTCACAGCGGCTTGCGATTTGTTCCTACCAAAACCGCTGCCGAGCCACTCGTTTGTGAACCCCCACCCTGTGAGGTAGACACCCTGCAAGAACTTCTGCGTGCCGTCTTTGATATTTTCCATGTCCTTCTCGTCGACGTAGCTGAGTGTGATGCCCTTCATTTGGACAAGCTTGGTGAGTTCTTCTTGCGCTTTCACATTCTCCACGAGCACAGCCTCGCGATACCCTAACACTTGGGTCGCCCAGAGCTGGTTCATCCACTTCTCAGCCGTCAAGAAGCCTTCTACTGGGTCGGAGTATATGACTGCTGCGACGTACGCTTCAAAGACATCGGCTGTGATTTTGTCCCAGGCCTTGCCGCCTTGCACGTGCGAGTGCTTCAGGCGATCAGGCAACCCATACGCCCGGGAAAACGCGGCCAGCGTGTCGTTCCTAATCAGCTGCTCTCGGAAATGGGCTTGTGCTGGGACGTCGAGATGCGGTAAGCGATGCGCAATCAGGCGTGTCGCCATCACCTCAAGGTAAGCGTCTCCGCCGAATTCAAGACGTTCGTATGATAGATCGTCGCTGGAACCAACGCCTTTTATGGCTTTGTTATGCATGGATGAATGCGTGAAGACTTGTGCCTGCAGCGAAGGCTCGATGGGAGGCAGCGGTGGCATGTCCTTTGCCTTCTCCAGCCTCTGCTCGATGTATCCGGGAAGCATGACATATGCACCCTCTCTTGGCCGCGCTTTGTCCAACTCTTTCATTTTCTCCGCATACTTGTGGTTGTTCCGAGCGGACAGGAGCCGTCGCAGCTCTGCAGCACATCGCAGTATGTCCTTATCGCCGCCTGGTTTTGTTTCCTCTGCCTCCACCTGTGAGAGCAATACAACCAAGCCCGACTCCAGCTCTTGCTTAGCTAGCTTGCACGGTTCGCATTTCGAAGGGTCAGGCAGTCGGTCGACATGATCGAAGAACTGAGTCTCGCCCCTGCGCTCTTTCTGTGACATGCCATATTGAGGTGTAGAGTAATTCGGGCCGTTGTTGGAAGACTGGCGCGCCGGTGTATAGCTGTTCGGTCCACGAGAGCCTACGGGTGCCGAGTTGGGACTGTCTGAGCGAGCATGTTTTTGGAAGCGATCATTGTTGTAGTGGTCGTGGCCGCCTGCGAATAGATGTTAGCAAGATGGCGCAGCACAAAAAGTAGCGAGTGGGATTTGCAACACTGAAGGCAGTTGCAGTCCAAAAGCAAGCAAGGAAAAAGGTAACATACCTCCACGCTTTGGTGGCCGATACCCAGACATATCGACCGGCGCAGTAACCTTTCCTCAAATCTATGCTTTGCAAGCCTTTGCAAGTCGCAATATAACACAGAGCCGGGACCCAATACGTCCAAACAGCTGGGTTTCGAGAAACTAAAAAGTCAGAGAGTGCTCGTTCAGATGTTGGCGCAAAGGCAAGAGCGGCCGGTCTTCGCCCACAGTGCTACAAGAAAGTTTCCTGGCCCGTGCACCCGCGCTAACCACCAGACACCTCCGAGCCCTTCTCCGCACATTCACCATCCTTCTTCGCACCCCACAATGTCCGTCGCACCCGTCGCGCGCTCGCGCGTGCTGGAGCTCATGAAAGTAATGCCCCCTTAACCCCCTCTGCCTCCACCACCCCTTCACTTTCCACTCTTGCTCTTCAATGCTAAAACCTCTGACCACGCACAGCTCCAAACCACCCTCTTCCGCACAACCTACAACCCGTCCTGCCACCGCCTCGGTTCACGCATCCTCCACCAGCGCCTCAAAGGCGCCTCCGTCGCATCCTACTACCCGCCGCGCATCGGCACAATCAGCCAGCTGCGGAAACTGTATCCAGATTACGGGGTTATGGATGAGGACGAGGAGGACTGGTTGGAGCATCTTAACGTCGCGCGGAGTAGGGGCAAGGCGCCGCCGAAGAAGAAAAGGACGGCTGCTGGTAAGTGGAGATGGCGTTGGCGGTTTGGAGCTAAAGGGTGGGTGCTGACAAGGGGACAGAGAGTAAGAAGTTTAATAAGAAGCGGTAGACGGGCTGTTTGGATGCGTGGCAGAGAATGGGGGAGCGGAGGGTATGAGGGGGGATGCAGAGGGATGATGGAACGTGTATATTGGATGTACTACAAGGCATTAGAGATGGCGTTGGGATGGGTAGGTATGGCTAGATGCGTTTTATCTCAGAGAGCACTTTACAAACGTAATGATCTCCATCAAGGACTCGGTTGCTGCGCAGACACGAAGGATGCCTTGATTATCGACACTAGCAATGTGGTATCACTGCTGGACCAGCCTTTCCTATACAACCAGGATGAACAGCTTTCCGCCATCAATTGCGGCACCATACTCCGCTGCAGCCATCAGTGGCCCTCATCGCTCACGTTCACGCTAGAAGTGGTGGCTCACATGAAAGATCGCAAGCTTTATTGCTAATGCCAAATTAGAAATCACTGGTGGCTCAAACAAAAGCGCACAAGTCATACAGCACACCTATTCATTGCCAAACCACAAGTCTCCCAGACCGAGTTCCTCAAGCGGAACGCCTCTCCAACATTTACTCCCCATCCCAATATACCGCAACAATTCCGTCCAAGACATAGCACGGCGTTCCGCATTAGAGGAAAGTTCGAGACTTTCAGATCGCAGTCTGGTAACGTCCATTTCTCAACTTGCTATATCCTTGCCTTTCAATTTCTTTGCCCAGTTGGCCAGGCCCAAAGTAAATGCAGTCAGCCATCGTATCACGTATCTAGAGATAACACACACGACCGACACATTCCTAAATCAACTGTCTTGCCCAACCTCGCACCTTCACGATGTCCCTCTCATTCTTCGCGGTGCTGTGAGGCTCTGCGTTAGAGTCTGATTCCGTGTCGATGTCGTCCGATCGCATTTTCGAGTCTTACAATGTGGTGTCGTTGCTGTGCAGCTGCCTCTCCGTGCCGTCCAACTCCGTTTGCGCGCCGTCCAGATCCCCTTTCCGTGGCTTCCAGTTCTCCATAACAGATGGCACACAAAACATGCCCGCCGATGTTGAAACGAGAGTCGCGGTCGGCAGCTTGAACGCGACGACACTGCGTGAGTCCACTCAGCCAGGGTTGTTGTAGTCTTGCTTAGCTCTCATGAAGAGCTGGGCGAGCATGTCGGGCTGGCTATTCTGAGGCGGGGTTCCTGCGTGTGCATTGTGGTGGTTGACGACGCTCCAAGCAGCGTCTTGAGTGCGTTGTTGACCGAAGAGTTCCCGAAGTGACAGTTGCCGTCCCATAGGGACTGAAGACTGGACCTGGTCTGACGCGACACTGGCCGTGTCTGTGTTCTGCGCCGCCGCGGCTTTGCTGACTTCGACGCGTGCCTACAACATTGATGGTCAGCAAATTGCTACACCAATTAATCGCCCGTGTGTTACCCCAGGATAGGTAATACACCGACCAGTTCAGCTATACGCGAGAGGATGAGTTGACTTACGGCCAGCTCTTGGATCTTGGCTGCGGTCTGGGTCATCATGCCCGCCGTGCTGCTATTCGGCTCATTAAAGATCCACAGGCCGTACACTTCGTCACCCTGCATGATGATGTACTCGTCCGTGAGCTCAATCCCATCGGGACCGACTATCTCCATGTAGAAGTTGTCCAGGCTGCGACGGTTCAGCATGACAACGCCATAACGTTCCGCGCCGGCTGCGGAGGGCACCAGTTCGCATATGAAGAGCGTGCCTTCGACGCCGGCTTTCTCCCATCTCGACTCCTCGAGGCTGAACGTGTAGAGAACGGCGTAATGAACGACGTGTTGTATAGAGGTGACGTCGGGATAGTGGCGCCGGATAGCACTCAGGTTGAGTTCCTCGGTGGAACGCACTGGGAGCGGGGCAGGATGGTCCATCTGGGGCGCGTCGGTCTCGTAGTCGGATGGTTGCGGTTGCGTGTAGTGGGCGCGCGATTTGCCTTTATTAGGTG